CTGGAAGAGATTGCTTAGCAATAAGACCGCCTTTTGTACTTCACTATACGTATTGAAAATTGTTTTAACAAAACATGTTATGTTGGTGCAATAAAGTGTTAAATAAATAAAATAAAATAAATATAACATAGTAATAAACTATGTATACGCACCATACTCCGAAGGTTTAAAAACATGGAATTACTGCATTCTCGATAATATTAATGGTTTAGGTTTTTTTTTATACAACTTAGAATGGCAAACAAGCTGACGGCCCACCTGATGGAAAGTGGTAACCGTCGCCTATACACATGAGCAATACCATGCATATAACAGAGTATATTATTTCACCCATGTTACCCCCATGCGTTGCCATTTCTGAGGACTCTGATGTTATTCCTCTGTACCCTGTAATTTCACGCCATATCCCACACTTCAAACCGAAACACAGCCATGCAAACACATCTGCTTCACGGTAGAAACACGAATGGGACGGAGGTACCCAAGCAATCGACTTTTGTACAAAGTCTCCCTCAGGTTTAGGTTTCAGTGTTGAATGTTAATATGAAATTATATATTGGCAGCTCGGAGGCAATTCAGATTTTTATATTTACTTGTGCCAGTAAATCTCAAGTGTCGACACAGCTGTAGGTAGATAGGTTATATTGGACAGACACGAATTGGCAGTTCATCTTATAATCGTAAATCGATTGCTTCCTGACAGACGTACGGTATTTTAAAGCATCTGTTGTCGCTATTTTGGGGAAATTCGTGCTATGAGATTTTCAGTTTGGCCCCGGTCTATGGTCCCGGCATAGGGCCAACCCTTCATTTCACCTGGGTGGGTGTGACACCGTGGGTGTCGTAAGAGGCGACTAAGGGGACAATTTAAAACACCACCAAAACTTAACTGCTGTTGCCAACCCGCCTGTCAAGCGTGGCAACTACTGGCAAACTCCTTCTTATGGCGGTCTTATGTTCAGCAGTGGATAATAAAAAGCTGATATGATGATGATAATATTAATTAAAACTGTTTATTACCATAGCTAGATTTGTACACAGTGGCGTAGCTATCCAGGGGCTAGGCGGGCAGTGCCCCGGGGCCCTCAAGCTCAGAGGGCCCTCGAATCCTTACCAGAAATGTCGGTCGAACTGAACTTTTGGAAATTTCTCCCATTTTCAAAATAAATATGACAGGTTGCAACCCCACTTTAATCATGACAACTCAGTTGAGAGAAATTCAAAAGTTATGCCAAGGGAATTGCCCTAATTTTTTTCTGTAGGTTGGCAGTGTTGTCAATTTGACGGATAGTGATATGTGCGTCAGTTTACATAGCAGTGGGGCCCCATTTTTTAATTTGCCTCATGGCCCTTGGTTAGCTAGCTACGCCACTGTCTGTACCTTAAATATTTCTACCATTTAACAGAAATATGGGTCATATCGTGTATCGGAAATGATAATTTGTGACAATGTTCTTAATAAATTATTGATTGTTGAAAGCTGAAAAATATCCAATACAAAAAGAATTATATAAATCGGTTTAGAATTCACGAAGATAAAGCGTAACGTGATTACCAACGGTACAAAGGTAATAATTAATAGATTCAAAGCTAAATTGGTTGAAAAAAGCTTTCAAAACAGTAAAATTAAAAGAAAGTATGTCGGTTTTAATTTTTCTGAATGAGGCAATTAAATCAGGTGCTGCCATAGTTATCTAGATTTAGGTAAAAAGAATACAAGTACTAACTACATGTCATGCTCAAATGCGGTTATCTTAAACACTCCACTTTCCTTATGTTGACATGCTGTCTAATTAAAAATATTATTCTTTTGAATTTTATTTCAGCCATTTCACAAATTACGAAAGTGCATAAATATTTGAAGATTTAATTACGTAATTCAAGCAACAAGGATACATTACTTTCGATTCATCGTAGTTTTTTTTTTTAACTAAACTTTTCTTTTTCTTATTTCTTTTACAAAAGTATCTAAACGTTCACTCACTATTATTTATTATCTATGCCAAATTCTTTATGAGGTAGGCAAAGACAATAGAATTCTAAAGGTCTATAAAATCTGTATATCTTTAGCTCTATCCACTTTCTATACACACGGTTTCTGGAATTTTCTAAATCCTCCCCTAGATAGTTCTGTGATCTATGTATGTAATTACAGGTAACCTCCTCCAGTACCTGCAGCCTACCACTTTCCCCTTATATATTTCTTTATTGACTACATTACAAAATAATGTTTGGTCGAAAAGGTGGAGAGCATTCTCTCCTAGTCAATCTTTGGAAAACAGAAATGTAATTAATCAGTGAAAAATATTGAAAATTTTAATATCTGGTTTGTCAACTTTTCCTGTAACATTTTTCCACGTGTAGATTCTCCAACAACCACGCGTACGAAGTCGATGTGAAAAGTATATTACGTAGATATTTTATGTGTCTACCTATATCTTATCTCTTTGTTTTATTAACTATCTGTAAGTAAGGAGGAAGGTATATATTGATATTATTTACTTATTTAAACAAGAACTGCGTTCATAATGTACTGTTCATCTCAAGAGATAACTGGTAGATAATACCATTAAATTCACCATTTATTTCTCAATTGATCAATAAGGTTCAATTAATATTATTTTTTAAGTTCAATTAGTATTATAAACTATACGCTACTGTATGAGTCTTTACTAGTTCTAAAAGCATTCATACAGAGCAGGAGACTTTATAGGTTAATATGCTTGCCCTACATTCTGTGTGTTGCCCGACAAGGAAGTGTTAACTAATGATTATTCACTGTTTCCCAGTGTCAACGATATAAACCTACAGCTGTAGGTTTTGTTTGTTTATTGTGTAGCTGTAGGTTTGTTCTATTATTATTAGTAATCTGCTTATCTAAAATAGCATAAAGTGCATCATTTCATACAGAATTTATACCATTTTAGTCATTAGTTCGTCAGGTCACTGCTGAGACTCTATTTCTGAGCAATCTTTTTCTATATTTTTTTCAGTCTTTGACGCAATAAAAGGCGTCGGATATTTTTATATATATAGTTGCTTTATCACTTTCTGATACCATATTTTTTTTTCTTTCAACTTTTCAAATGGCATTTAGTTACTTTAGATTGTCAAAACTTTTCCGGGAGATATAATCGAAGTATTGCAATACGTGATATTAATTATCTTTATATACACATTTCATTGACTCCTCTATTAGCCTTCTTTTATCTGAGCTTGTCTGTCTTAAACTGTATGCAACCAAGTCGTCCTTGTGACTTATTTTCAATCCTTGATCTAACATTTAGTATGTGGTCGTCCTAGAAAATATGTACCTACTCATCAATTTATATGGTTGGACCAGCTATTTACATAAAGAAAAATGTTACAAAAGAATAATTCCTGCTGTCATTGTTGTTCAATATAAAAGGCACATACAGTTTTTAAGTAAATCTGTATATTCGATAAACTCTATATATATCAGTCTCAATATTAGTTTCACCTTGAGCGGTGACAGCTCGCTTGGATGGAACGCTTGAGTGCGTCCCGTGGATCCAAAGATCAATACACGTCTCAACTTCTAAATATTTTATATTCTTGTTTTGGTAATTTGAAACTATCGTAATATATAGCTAGGTAAAGTTTTCGTCCGGTAAATCCTGCACTGCAAAGCTCTTCGTGTCTACTTTATCCATAAACGATGGCGGAAGATCAGATGTTGTCATTACACCATCACATAGTTTATACTCACCCAAGACAATATTAGAACTGTTGCAAACAATTAGATTTTGTTGTCTGTCACTAGATATTAATTATAGGGAATGTACTTTATTCGTCAGCGTTAACTGCATGGGGTTCTTCAAAAGGGGGGTAAAGAGGTTTCTTCAGGGTCGGCAACGCGCGTGTAATACCTCTGGTATTGCAGGCGTTCATAGGCTACGGTAACCGCTTACCATCAGGTGGGCCGTATGCCTGTTTGCCACCTCAGTGGTATAAAAAAAAATAACTTCAGTAATCACTGCTGTCTTTCTTTTCTTAGTTATTGATTTCTTGTCGACGTTGTTTTTTTTTTCATTCTTACAGTTTATTATCATTACAGTTATTTACATTTTATTGCCATCGTGTAATCTAATTATTTATACACCCACATACATTAAGATCCATCAAATCGTTTTGACTAGATATTATTATAAAATATAACGTAACGTACACCGAAAAACTTTATCCTCCTTAGTTTGACAGTCGGGCAAAAGTATGTGGTAACGGAAGAATCAATATAATTTGCCTATAAAACAAATGGCCGCACATTGCGCAGGAGTGCGCTCCATAACGGGACGAGTATGTGAGCTGCATTATATAAAGTAGGCGCACAGCCTATTTGAACAATATTTATGATTATGATCGACACACACGCGAATACGTGGCCGCCATTGTATTCAGTTTATGAATCACTAATCACTGGCGACTGGATTATTTGCTTGTATGCTCATCGTAACGGATGAATAGATATCTAGGTGTGACACCAAAATTTACTGGAATTTACTTTTATTATTGTTCTTGGAAATTTTCTACTAACTAAACTATACATTTTTACACAAAAGTTGAAAAGTTTATTAAAGAAAGCACCATCAAATGAAAGTATCAAAACCATTCACAAATAAATGGACGTATAATGTAACATTCGTACACAAAAATTCAGAAGTTCCTCTTTTATTTTGTCAAATCTGAAATGTACCCCATAAGTGTCAATAATTTTTATTTCTACACACATCCTATTTATTAGTTTTCAATATTTTTACTTCAATTTTTTCAGAGAGAGAATGCAAACTGAAATTCCAAAAACCTTTTGATGTAACAGTGTATCAATTTTCCTAAAATAGTTAAGAAAGATCACTGTTTAGAGATATGGTCATCTTTTGTCGTCTCTGCTGTTACATGTGATGTTTTTTTCTTAATTATAATTTTTCTAATCATCTTTCCTTCAAGGGGCCAATAAAGAGTTTTCATTCATAACATTACAGGTCGGCAATGGGCCTCGGGTACGCCAGCGTGGGTCTGCAGCACTCGCGGTCGGCGGTGCTGCACGCGCAGGTGCCGCCGCACTACCGGCCCGTGCTGCCCTCCCAGGCCATACTCGCTGGCGCCGACGGCAATGTACAACACGCCTCTGTAAGTTAACGCACTAAGATTTTAATACATGCCTTTTTAATACTTCTACGCGAAAATAACAGTCTTCGAAACTAAAAACAAAATTGGTCTCACATATTTAATTGTACCTCAAGTTGTTACTTTTTACTACCTTTTGTGAAGAGAAAATAAACCATTCATTCATTAAAACCATTTATTCGTTTATTTAATCATACTATAAGTATTATTCCCTCAACAAGAGACGCCTATTTGACTCGACGGGTTATACATAGAAAGCAAGTCCTATTTTCGATTCGTGTAAGGTGGACATTTTAATTCCTCCTAACTAGGATGTCGATATGCAATAGTGAAATGTCAGTGTGGAATGATAGATGAAGACGAAATCAGGTCAGTGGACTTATAGCGATGAATTCACGATCATTAACCCCCATAGTTGCTATTAGGAACAACATGGAGATCATGTCACAGTATATTGCTATTAATAGGATTGTTAGTCTCTGTTTCTGATAATCCCCAGGGCCTGATTATCTATTAGGCAGTGTAGGCAACTGCCTAGGGCCCATTATCGACTATGAACCCCTTACGTCGACTAAAATTTCTTAAATTTAATAAATGTAAATATTTTTTCCAAGCTTTACATTTGTATCAATCAACTAGCAAGGACAATATTATTGCTTTTTTTAGTACATTGACATATTTTAGTATATTTTGTAACACATTTCAAGTTATTATGAATTATTATATGGGGAAAAAGGGATTGTTAGCAATGGAGTTTGACAACCCCATTGCCAGCAATATGCCCTATTAGGTCGGCCTCCACGTGGTTCCCCCTGAAAACCGTCGTGAATAGTTCTTGTTGAATTCGTCACGATGGGCTAACTGACCTGCTTCATTCTCACCTATCATCCTTCACTGGTGCCCCGTCGGTGTATACCGATAGCGCGGGCGGGGATACCATTACATTATCACTCATTAAAAAAAAAAAAACTAACTATATATATAAAAGTAGATTTATTTGAGTGCGAGACGTGCATTGGTTAGACGTCCCGACATTGTTAATCCGGCTCTTCCCCGTGTGTAAATAGATGCATGTATCGCTCCACTTGAAATAATCCAAATTAAAATCACACTCTGTACCTACTAACATAGCTTTCAGCTGCACTGCTGTAACAATTGTCGTCAGTTGCCAAAATTGGGATACAATTTTAAATGATAATTTTTTTTTACACCAAATAAAAAAAAATCTACATTTTAAGATGTTTACTGATACTTTGTCGAATCGGTGTCAGTGTTTCAGTGTAATTAAAAAAAGACTAGTTTTTAAATAATGGAAGATATGGGAGATAAAGTCGTTTCTTTATTTGTATTTACACTATGAATGTGAAGTGTATTTACTAAGCATAAAGTCGGTCAGTTCCAGATGTAAAAAATAAATTAAGCTAGAACATTTATTTGTTCTGGGTATTCCGTAACGTTTTTATTTATTGAAAAACAAAATTTATGCAACCGTGTCGAAGCGTACTGTTCTGAATTTACAGAACGAAAAAAATCTATGCTTGTTACTGTGGATTTAATTTGAGAACGTCTCACAGTTTTCTAGACGACTAGTTCTTTTTACCAATTGCGAGATTTTCTTATATATTACATTATTACTATAATTCATTCATTATTAATTCATTCTTGCGCCACCTACCCACTTCTATCTGTTCTCCTTTAACCAAAGGTTGTCTGTAAGAGATTGCCCTAGCGATAAGACCGCCTTTTGTACCTTTATGTTTATATTTTAATCTGTAATTTATGTTATTGTATTTCACTTAAATTGTTTAATTGTCATTTGTATATTTTTATGTTTCTAGTGCAATATAGTGTTAAATAAATAAATAATCATAAATACAATATTATTTAAAACATAAATAATTATGTTTTAAAAGTTTTTGGTTAATAAAATCTAGTGCCTCTTATATGGTATTCCTTATACGTTGCCTATTTTTGAGAACTAAAACACTGCCATAAGAATAAATAAGAGGCAAACAGTAATTTGCCTCTTGTACTTACTCTCATCTTGACTTGCTCTAGTATCATCTAATATGGTAAATGATACTACCTTTCCATTAAATTATATGCATAAACCTTATCTATTGTCATTAAATTTAATATTTCTGTTTGAAAAAGTAACAGACAAGGTGGCTTTAATTAAATATGGCGTAATCACTTAATATATTCTGTTGCTGGCAAATGCATGAATTTTGTACATTTTCTTAGTAAAACAATAAGTCACTGATTAAAAATAGAATGGTAAGTCGATTATATATTGACCTTGAGTTTCCTTATGTGTTAACGATTGATTTTATAGTTTGGAAGGTTAATAATATGACGCATCGCCGAGACCAAGCTCATAGAGCACTTCTCCTTGTGATTTACAGATGTATATATGTAAAGCTTCTTTATCGAAATATTGTATATATTAACTGATAGAATGATAAGGATGATCTCTCTGATAAATTATAATTATTACGTACCTAGTAAATGTGAGCAAATAACATAGCTTTCATTAAATAATAATGTTTTATTAATGAAGTTTAAAATACTTATATTCGAATTATTTAAGATTGATTTGATTTTTATAACATATATAAGGAGGATGATATATAGGAGTAGATATACCCTAAACAGCTGTCGAGCAATGCGCTTAGACACAGTCCATGTGAAGTACATATCTCGAGTCACAGCAGTTTCTTCCCCAGTAAGCATACAAGAAGTATATAAGTTGTAATAAATATATGTATTAGGCTATATGTGATTTTTAATTTTGGGTAAATCAGCTAGCCATTTCTATAATTTATTCTTTCCTAACAGTAAAAATATAACAAATAATTGTTTCTACTTTTAGGCGGGTCCACGTGTACATTTCAAACTACAACCGCAGCAGGGTAATGCCTCTGAAAAGAAAAAGTCTCCGCCGTCCTCCCTCACCAACGGCAATGGCAAGAGCATCCGTCCACAATCGTTCACACCAGGGCTCAAGAGGTCCAAATCATTGACCTCGGCAGACGCCCTGGCCAGTGGCATGGCAGCCTTGGGTTTGGCTGCAGATGCTGGCGACTTAGGCAATTTCCCGCCAGAGATCCAAGAGTGCATAGATAAGGCTCTTGAAGGTGAGTATTGAAGAATTTGTGCCTCTCATCTACGAATAAACCACCGGAGAAAATAGTTTTTTTTTATGCAACTTAGAATTGTAAACAAGCTGACGACCAACCTGATGGAAAGTGGTAACCGTCGCCTATAGACATGAGCAGTACCACGGACATAACAGAGTATACTGTTTCGCCCATGATACCCCCTATGTGTTGCCATTCCTGAGCATTCAGGTGTTATTCTGCTATAGCCTGTAAATTCACGGCCATATCCCACCCTTGAAACCGAAACACAGCCATGTAAACACAACTGTTTCACGGTAGAAACACGAATAGAACAGAGCTGCCCAAGCAAACAACTTTTGTACAGTCTCCTTCTGATACTTTACGAAATATGGTGAATGATGTTTGTAACGTTAATTATAGCCTAGTCGTGTGTTTTTTTTTATGGGTGAAAATTTTATGGTAACTCCGCCTGCGCTAAGGGGATATGCTAGCGGAGCACCAGTGAAGGGTGATAGATGAGAATGAAAACAAGCCAGTTAGCCCATCATGTTGAATTCATCAGGAATTAACCATGATAGTTTCCAGGGAGAACCGCGAGGACGTCGACCTGGTTGGGTATATAGCTAGCAATGGGATTCTCAGTTTCCATTACTAACAATCCCTTTCCCCTCGCCTAGTCGTAACTTAGGTTCCTACAACTTTTCATCCTCAGAGTATACCCTGATACTATAAGTATAGGGTGACTTAAGAATACACTTATCTCCAAGAGAAGGAAAATTCAAAATAAAATCCTATACCAGTGCCCAGTAATGACATCAATTCTGCATAATCACTTAACAGTATTTAATAGTGATCGACTATTGTTTATAATTACTTCTTCCACCCAAATCTTCCATCATGAGACGATATTTTCTCATCGCGATCCATTTCTTACAGATTTTGTTTCTGCTATTAGGTACTATTCTTTTCTGCTGTAACTTTAATATAATTTCATTGTACTTTAATATTATAAATATTTTACCAACAGATCCAAATGCTGTATGTGCTCGGACCTTGATGGACGCCGTAGGGCACTTGGTGTCTCGCGCGGTGGAGTCTCCGCGGTACGCGTTGCCAGCAGCCCGACGCTGCATCGCGGTGGTGGAGCGAGAGCAAACCGAGACCTTCCTCGAGTCGCTGCTCAATACCTGCCAGCAGTGGTACCACGACAGGGAGAAGGTAATTGTGCTGATTAAAGTGTTTTGCTTCGTAACTTTACACTACTTGGTATTTTCTTTTGCAAATTTAGCAAACATTTATTTATATTTATAATAAGTTTACTATTGTAATCTTTTGGAGGAAACAATAAAGAGTATCTATCTATCTATCTATCTACACCTGATGAAAAGTTGCTACACTTACAGACAAAAATGTCACTACGAGCTTCACAGAATTCATATTTAAATTCATGATCGGTACTTAACGTCACGCGATTACAGGTACATAATATCTACACAGCTGGTTTTTATTGCCGACGTTTATTGAAGACGTTTGTGTATACGGTGTTTAGGGTGGACATAGACAATAATAATAATAATGTGATAATGACCGAAGAAATTGCGTAAGCTGCCTGAAGAAGACACCGTTTATTTCAGGCTTATCGTGACCACAACGTCGTATAATCCATGTTAAAAACGTCGTCAGTGATAAATTTTTTATATGTAGGTGCTATTTACTCTAATCGCGTCCGGATAGTTAATTTAGATATGTGTAAAAAATGCATAAATTTATAGTTTCACAGAACACACTGAAACTGTGTTATGTGTTATAACCGTATCTAATTATTTTATAACAAAATTTTCCATCCTTAATGAAATATACCCTGTGAACCTTAAATGCAGTTGTCTAGACAACGTAGACCCGTGCTCAGTACCGAGGTGCTAATGGGTGTTTTATTTTATAGGTGAAAAGGTATGGTAACCCCGCCTGCGCTAACGGGATACGCTGGCGGAGCACCAGTGAAAGGTGATAGATGAGAATGAAAACAGGCCAGTTAGCCCAGCATGATGAATTCATCAGGAATTAACTGTGATGGCAATGGGATTCTCAGTCGCCATTACTAACAATCCCTTTCTTCCCCCTAATGAGTGGTTAAGGTTAAAGTGCTTTTTTTTGTGGTATAATAAAAGTGTTTGCATGAATTCCGTCAGTTGCTGGGCGCCATGGTTGGTGGTGGGCGACCGCGGCTGATGGCGTTCCTGTCGTTCCTGCTGGAGATGTACTGCCAGCTGCGGCGCCGCGCCATCCAGCGGCGTGGCGCTTCTGCGCAGCCTGGACAGGTGTTGCTCACACTCATCTGCAAGTGCTGTGAGGACTGCATCCGCCAGCCCGTGCCCTCCGCCAGCGACGTGAGTGCCGCTATATCTACTCGTACTTAATCACTGTCACTATTTTCCTGCCCTTATTTTATGTTATTTGATGTCTCTAGGTAAGTCCAGAGGAAGACTTTGTACAAAAGTCGTTTGCTTGGGTACCTCTGCCCCATTCGTGTTTCAACCGTGAAGTAGCTGTGTTTCGGTTTGAAGGGTGGGATATGGCGTAAATTTACAGGGTACAGAAGAATAACACCTGAGTCCTCAGGAATGGCAACGCACGGGGGGTATCATGGGCGAAACAGTATACTCTCTTATGTCCATGGTACTGCTCATGCCTATAGGCGACGGTTACTACTTTCCATCAGATGGGCTGTCAGCTTGTTTTTGGCATTCTAAGTTGTATAAAAAAAATATACACAATTGTGGATTCTTACTACGATTATATATTTATTTGAAACTGTATTTTATTTTTGTTATGATTTAAATGTATAAATTATAATAAATAGTCTCTTTATGGTTCATGCTGACAAAACAGTTGCCATTTTAAAATTTATGAGCAAATCGAATTTGTAAGATCTTTGTCTCCAAAAATAATTACATTATTTGAATACACGAGATTTGTCTGCCATTTGATTAGTTCCGTGCTGCCTAGTCCTTTTCAGTGGATAATAACATTCTGAACCAAGCGTTAGAATCATAAAATAGCTACTATTTAAGAGAGCTTATGAACAAGTCTAAATTAAGTTGACGTTTATTTTATTCTATTAGACATGCGTAATATAACTATAATGGTGTTGTAGACGGAGAATCTCTTCTTCGTGCTGACGTACATCGGGCGCGACCTGGAGGCGCAGCTGCCCGGCGACCTGGAGCGGCTGCTGACGGCGGTGCGCGACGCCTTCCTCAACACGGCCGCCGCGCCCTCCATCCGCCGCACGCTGCTGCAGCTCATCGAGCTGCACGCCTCGCGCTGGCAGCTGCCGGGCTGCGCCGTACTTTATTACTACCCTTCCTCTAAATAGGACTCCCCACTTTTCTCTTAGGATTTATGAGAAGTATTTTAGGTGTACGAGTTAATGTCTGTACCCCTAATTACCCCTCAGATTCAAGATGTCTCTTTCCAAAAATAAACCTAAAAAGCTGACTTTTAGATTTGTAAACATTATTGAAAGGAGACATTTTTGGGAACAGATGGTCTAAACTCGAGTGGGTAGGGCGTCGTCTATATACGCCGATGCTTCCTGTAAAATCTCATTCGACTGAAATTATTGCCTTTGCGCAACTAAAGTACAGTTCCTAAATACATAATACACCTTTAAAAAAAGTATAATCTGTTAATAAAATAAATATTATAGAGCTGTAACCATTTCTTTGAGAATTGCATACTGATGATAAGCGCAAATGGAGTCTACTGTTGTCGGAACTGAAATATCGCTCCCAAGATAGTAAATGAAGAAGGGTAGATAATATAGCTAGAAAAGCAATATATTAGTTAATAGTACACAAAGGTTACAAGCATTTCTTGTAGATTGTTTGATTTCATTGTTCTCTTCGTATATGACCTGTGCGTCGAAAATGTATAGAAGATCATGAACATTGTCCTTTATACATATTAAAGGCACGAAGCTGCCATAAGCTCATTTATTGTGCCTTTACAGATTTTAGTATTTAATATAAGCCTATATCTATCAAGTTTGTGCAGATTGGTACTTTGTAGAAACAATGTTTTAAAAATAGGACTTAGTACCTTGTAGAAGCAAAACTTGACAGAACAAGGGAGAGAGCAAAATTATTATTGTAAGGTATTAGAAATTTAGCTTAAGGTGGATTTAAGTGGATGAGCGAATTATGCCTTAAAAGTATTAAAATGTACGTGTATAATAAGTAGTATGGACAAATTAACGGTGTACATTACTGTACGAGCTTCGCATAGTACTTCGTGCATTGTATCCTTTGTCAAGTTGTCTAACTTAGTATCATATGCTATCCCGACCAGCTCCTAATATTCGCTTAATCGTTTGCCTAGTTTACCACCTATTAATTAGCTTTGATTTATACATACAATATACACCATAAATATTAGGTTTTTGCACTCTGGTGTCGTGATTATTATATAAATCAATAAATTATATTAAATAGTTTACAATGAATTGTTAAATATTAAAGATGCTTACATATTTATACAAGAATATACCTAACCATGTTTGACTGAAGTTATTAGCTAAAATGAACTGTTTCAGTGTTAATTATGCTTGTGATATTATAAATTTAAGTTATATATTTTCTGATATCTTCTCTGTTCTAACCAAAGACTGCACTGATGTGAAGATTTCATTTAAATTATTAACAAGGAAATGTATCGCCCATTTGTTGAAGCTGGACCAAATTTTCTTGTGTATTTATTTTTCAAACTCTTTACTATTAAATATATTTATAGTATAGAGATTGAAGTATAATTTGTCAGTGAATATTTTAAGTTCATTTAGTTGTAGACTGTTGTGTGATGAATATATCAATGAATAAAAGCTTATATTCTTTAGAGATATAGTTATGTAAAGGAAAAAGTTAAAAGACCGTCAACTTTTCGTTATTATTATGCATTAGTAGCCTAAGGTAATGGTATGTTTATAGAAAATCTAAAAAAAGAAAATAAAAAAAAATGGTGCTAACAATGATGTATCGTATAATTATTTTAATCGGATACGGACAGTAACATCGGTCTCATTACCGCTATATTTTGTACCTACACTTAAAACAATAAAATTATATATCTGTATAAAAATGTTTTATTTTCTGTCTCGATTAGCAGTACCTAAAATAATATTAGTTGGCAAAGAGAGATTAAGCATGGCGTAGGTAAGCAAATTTCCAACAAGATCAGATGGCGTAGTGCTGTGGAGAAATAAAAGTAAGGTCAAAGGGGCTATACGAGGCATCTTTATATCAAGATTCCTAAACTTTTAAGATAAGGTAACGCCCACCAAATACCTTTTTTTTTTATGGAACACCATATCAAATGATTACAAATGAAAAACGCTAAATAAAAATTGAAGCTTTTATTAGAATTATTTTAAAAGTATAACACTTTATAGTTTCCTTTAATTTTTAATGCGAGGAATAAAACTGTTTCACAGTATAAATAATTTTACCGTACCCTGGTGACTTTTTTATGTAATCTTGGGTTCGGGTGGAATCGCTGCTTTACACTACAGTAGAACCAGTGTGCATTATAATAATGTACACTAGTTCTACTGTAGGATTATTTATGATTTAAAATACATTAAACTGTCTAATGTATATTCAACGATATTACACACGTAAACAATTACGTTTTCTTATACTCAATTTCAATTTAAAAGAAAATAACCAGAATTTATAAATCCCGTCTCTAACATTTCTGCTAGCACCAATATAATTCCTTTTTTTAACTTGCAGTAGGTACTTTAAGCAAAAAAATATTTGTATAAAATCTATGCTACCAATTCCTTGAATAAGTCTATTTTACGCTATAAATAAGCCAGGTCTTTATAACACAAATGTATACATCAATATATTTCACACACTTATTTACACTATAAAATAAATATAGGTGTTTTATTTATTTATAAATTTATATAAGATTGTGAACATTTATTAACTTACATTGTATTAAAAATTGTATAGATACTTATATTTTCCAATTTCATCAATATACAGTCTATGCCGAGTCATAAATAATTTAGTTAGCGACTCGCCTACGTTCTGAACTCAGATGAATTACTGCTAATGACTTGTATTATATATGTATCCCGCTGTAACATACGTGTTACCTCGTATGACCACCTTTTTTCTTATTTTTCATATTGAATAAAAAGAATTACTATTTATCTATGTAATATTTAGAATTTTAAATCATTATCATATAAAATTATAATTAAATGTTCTACATCTATGTCTCAATAAAATTTTTGAACACAATCCACCTTCTGATTGGTTATTTGCTAGCCACTTAATGCTAACTTCTCTCTGGTTAGTCGTTCGCGTCGCGTTCGTACTTCACTTCAGTCAGTTTATTTGTTTCATTCATATAGTTCTTGTTCCGCTTCTTGTTTTGTTGAACGTTTTTATACCAGACTCGTTTAAGATCGCTTCACCGTGTGCTTTGTAATGTAATGTGATAGTAAACCTGATGATTTATTAATTGTCGTGATATAATAGTGCTGTTATCTGTGATAAAATGATGACTTAATCAAATATGTGTTGGCATTAGTGATTTTCGAGTTTTCGTAAAATGGGTTTGATAACGTCAAGGGATCAGACGATGTTGGACGGACCGACCGCGTCGGCGAAGAGTAACCATGTCCGTCAGCCGTCCACTAGGAACCGAACCAAGCCCCCGATGCCGGACCGGGATGAGTTGGAAAGCCGGTTCATCAAAGTTCTGGTGAGTCCATTTGCCGAAATCTGCCGGCACCTTTGTTTACAAACATACCTACTTACAGTTGTTAACTTTCGCACAAAGATATTCTTGTGGCAGTTTATGAATCGGTTACATTATTGTTTATACAACTGTATGGAAGTTATTTAATTTATTAATTATTTTCCAGTAGAATATATAATGTATAAATTGACAATTTACAAATTCCGTCTATTATTTTTTTTAAGTCGAGATAGATCTTCATTTAAGAGTAAAGGAAATGACAATTGGTGATAAATTTTAATTTGTACAATAATGTAACCCAAGATTACCCACAAGGGTTAGCAGTTGGTGACTTAACTATAGGGTCCTAAGCAATTAATGCCTTCAGTCCCCTCTCCTTTTATGTACGTAGGTATTTATATACACATACTAAATATGTAGAATATAAATAAATGTATTAATATAAAATTACTATGATAATTTGTTTTTCACCAATAAACTTTTTATCACTTTTAACATATTTATTAATTAAACTCTTCAATAATTACATTAAATTTATTACTTTTAGTATTTATACTTCTGTTTGATCTCCTTACACCTCTAGAATTTATGTTTATAATTTTTTTTCACCGTGACATTTATTCAATTCATTTGGGAAATGAAATTATTTGAAATAATTTTATAATTATTCATAAGAAAGCAAAAGTTAAAATAATTTTAAACCATGTTGTATAACCAAGCAATCTAATTTATAGTGTGTTTTAATTGATGCTCTATATGTAATGTTTAAACTTTTAAAAATATTTAATTATAATAATGTTAAAAAAAACAAACAGATTTCATTAAAAGATAATAATTAGAAAAAGGTAAATTCCTAATTAGGTATCCATTTTTCAAACTGCAAAATCAAGCAATCTGTCAATCCTTGAACTATTACCCAGTATGTTGATCCCTACATTTTGTCGTCCAGGGTAAACTTAAATGCTTTTATTGCATGGACTTTCAAAAAGAAGAAGGTTCTTGTTTTAGTTATATCTTTTTTATGTTGTTACCTCATAACTCTGCCAGTTTAATACATTTTTTTTATCTGAAAAAATATTCTTACAAATATACCCATAGAAATCTTATCAAAATTGCTTTAGTAGTTTGATTTTTAAATCAAAATAACTGGTTTTATCATAATTGAAGTTTTTTTTTTTTGGAACACAATCTCTATTCCTGTCAACTATCAACACACTGTTGCATTTCCTATTTAAAAGGAAATGTTGACATACTAGTAATAGTAATATTTTTAGTCAATCACAAACTACAAAATGTATCGAGCAATGCACATCCCACATCCGTTACCGATTTCAACATCTTTGTTATCAAATGGTCATTCAAACAAGGCATTATCATAACAATGTTTCCTTCCTCTTTATCTAGTTTCATAGTTTATTCACATAGAAATTGTTCAGATAATGTTTTAAACATAAGCGATTTATATCCAATAATAAACTTTATATGTATGTTTAGTCATCTAGTCCATGTAAAGCTAAGTTACTAAGCTAGTTTGGGTGACTGTATTACCTGTAAAGAAATCCTACTAATATAGTCAATGTGAAGAAAGTTTATATATTTGTCACTTTATTACACCTAAACAACTGTCTAGATTTGAATTAAATTCAGTATATAAATAGATAAATTAAATAATTAATATTTAATTAGGGGGGTAAAAAGGTTTTTAAGGGTTAGCAACATGTGCGTAATACCTCTGGTAGTACAGGCGTTCATATCAGGTGGGCCGTATGCTTATTTGCCACCTCAGTGGTATAAAAAAAAATAACATGTAAAAGGATACTTTATAATACAAAGTCAAGGCCATGATAAATACCTAGCTATAGTTACGTAAATAAATGTCTTGAAGTAATATGTTAAATAAAGTCAGACTGGATGATGAAATACTATTTTTCTTATCTTCAATATCTGACAACAGTTACCATTAATAAATGAATTAAATTTTGTATGATTCATATCCTCTGTATCAATGTATTTCTCAGAATACACTGTAAAAATATGTACTATGATCTAGAAACATGATTAAGTACTTTAATAGAATGTACTCAAGGTTGCATTATTTTTCTTGGAGGACTTTTAATAAAGTAAGCTCTCAATGCACCTATATTTATTTTTGGGGATGTGAATCAAAATCAGGTCCAATTCTAAACTATTTAGACCTATTCTGAGGCACCACTTCTCTAAATCTATCTCTTTATATCAGCCTTGAACTGTCCACTGCAGAACATAAGTTGGGGGGTAGGGGGTTTGCCAGTAGTAGCCATGCTTGGCAGGCGGATTGGCAACCATAGTTGCCAATCCGCCTGCTTTAAGAGGGACGCTCGTGCTTATCCCTCACCTTCCCTTAATATATCATACCTATGCCGAGACCACACGGCCAAATTAATTATCTCTTAATCTATTCTTTTATTTCAGCAAGTTCATGGAATTACTGTTGTTGAAGTTTTATTAACTGAAATTATAATAACTTTGGCTTAAATTTATTAAAATATTTTATTGGTCTTTGCAATAATGATTTTGCTGTAATATCAACATGAAATTTTAATTTTAGAGATTGGTTTAGAGAAATGGTGCTCAGAATTGACCTTATTATCAGTTGACCCAAAAAATTTACGGACAAACAAATTTAAGTAGCAATTAAAATATATTACAATTTTTAACATTAGTCGTAACTTTAATATTGACTTGGTTGGTTTATTGTCTATGGTGCGGTTTATGTCAATAGTCGATGGTTACCATTTTCAATCAGTTTGTTTGCCATTTGTGGAATAAAAAAAAATCTGTACCCACAAATTGTAGCCTGGTGTATTAACACCAAATACATCGAAACACCAGAGACACGCGCTCTGATAACCCTAGTGACATAAGTAGTTGATCTTAAATTCTGATATAGTAAAATTTCATTGGCCGATTGCGCTCCTCAAAGCATAGCAAGCAATTCGCTTAATAGCGGGAGTGAGATAATGGTCTGGCCTATTTTTGCCTTTTTTTTCATACAGCTTACATTCCATCTTTTTTAATGGATGTTAATGGAATGGTAACCCCGACTACGCTAATATACGCTGGCGGGGCACCAGTGAGGGATGATAGTTGAGAATGAAAAAGCAAGTCAGTTAGCGCATTGTGAGGGACACATCTGGAAAACAACACGACGGTTTCCAAGTTCCTACGTGGAGATCGATCTGACACGGGTATATTGCTCCCAATGGGAATGGCAGTTCGCATTACTAACAATCCTTCCCCCCCCCTCCCCTTGCATTCCATCTAGACAATTACCCAGACAACTGCATAATCTCTTTTTTTGCACAACTTAGAATGGCAAACAATCTGACGTTCCACTATCAGGAAGAACATAACTTCTGCATAAATCACTTGTATATCTACGAATGATTAGAAGTTAAACGTAGCCACCAGGCGTCACTTAACGTCATAGAGGGATCCATTGATGCTATTTTTATACTACATATCTCGTACACAGCGTTGCAGCTGTTATCGTCTAAAGGACATTCAGAGCAATTAGTGTACAGAGTGCATTTTGTAGCAAGAAAAATGTGGTTAACATGTCCAGGCATAGGGCATATTTTTTGGTAAGGAGGAGGGGATTGTTAGTTACTGGGACTAGCGGTTCCCTTGCTAGTAGTATGCTTTGTTTTTTTTAACGAGTGAAAATGGATTGGAAAGTCCGATTGTGCTATCGGTATACGTTAAAGGGTCACCAGTGAGGGATGATAGCTGAGGATGATGTCAGGTCAGTTGGCCTATCATGACGAATTCGACAAGAATGAATCGCGAAGAAGTTGACGTGATAGGGTATATTGCTAGCAATGGAGCTGCTAGTTCCCTTATTAAAACTGTCTTCCCTCCAATATGCTCTGTTTTTTAATGGGTGATAATAGAATAGTAATCTTGCCTGTGCTGTTAGTATATACTAGTGAGGCATCAATGAGGGATGATAGGTGACGATGAAAGCAGGTCAGTTAGCCCATCGTGATGAATTCCACAAGATTTAACCATAATAGTTTCCAGGGAAACCACAGGGACATCGAGATGTAACAATGTACCCATGTACATGATCATGATTTTAAAAAATCCATTACTAACAATTCCTCTCCCCTTTTATATACGTAGATATTAGGTAGATATATTTAATTTTGTGTTTACATTATAATTCCGTTATTTATTTGTTACGGGGTGATTGTAAGTCATCAATGTTATCGAATCAGGTCAGGTTACGTTACGTTAATATCAGTGACTTATAAAAGTACTTATCCAGTCCACTGTCGACCACCCAACCGCAAAACATATAAAACGATACTGCATAATATTATATTTATAAATGGAATCTGAACTTTATTGTATTCAACTCTGGTACAGTCACTGTAGTATGGAAAACAGTTGCTGTGGTTACACTAAGGCTCTATACACAATGACGGTACTATATATACGTAGGTAGAATATTCATATCTATACTTATAGCAGTATCTATATATTATTGTTACAATATCTATATACTAGCTTTTTTTTTATACAACTTAAAATGACAAACAAGCTGACGGCCCACCTGACGGAAAGTGGTAACCGTCGCCTATAGACATGAGCAGTGCCATGGACATGACAGAGTGTACTGTTTCACCCATGATACCCCCCATATGTTGCCATTCCTGAGGACTCAGGTGTTATTCCTCTGTACCCTATAAATTCACGCTATATCCCACCCTTCAAACCGAAACATAGCCATGCAAACACAACTACTTCACGGTTGAAACACGAATGGGACAGAGGTACCCAAGCAATCGACTTTTGTACAAAGTCTCCCTCTGGTAAACGTCCAATAACGACTGTTATACAAGAAATAATGCTGAATAACAGACTTTCAACATATTCGAAAATAGATCCCCGACCGACATGGGTGATATCGAAATGGGCGAGGAACCTTTTCCCGCCAGATATTGGGTTCCTCTATACAT